CTTCCAATGTAAACTGCATTTTTCTCAATGATTCCTGATGAATTTCCTTTAGTGGGGTTCCCCGAGATCTGAAATTTATTTCAAGGGTTCTTCTTGGGTAAAAAGGTTGAGTAGGGCTGAACTAACTTGTATATTTGATCAATTACCCCCACAAAATGGTCAGTTAATGTTTTTGGAAGAAACCGAAAAACCACATGACCAACAATAGCCAGACAAGGAAAACACTAGTCCAGGGCTTCTTATCCTTGCTACCTTGAAGGAACTCTCGGCAAGAAGTTGGATATCTCACGGAACCCCTGAAATAATGTTCACATTTACAGCTCACAGATCCGCAAGCTGCAGATATAACAATTATTTTTAGAAATAGTATTAAAAAAATTGAATTGATATGAAAACTTGCATATTTAAAGTGAAATGTGTTCTTGCTTTGCTCTGCACATATACTCAATTCTGGGTCCAACTTGGGATAAGCAGTGTATGGGGGGGGGGGGGGGGCATCAGGGCGGGGTGCAGGAGGGCACATTACATGGGGGCAGGACATTATATTGGGCACATTACATGGGAGCAGGGCATAATATTGGGCACTTTACATGGGAGAAGGTCATAATATTGGGCACTTACATGGGAGCAGGGCATAATATTGGACACTTACATGGGAGCAGGGCATAATATTGGGCACTTACATGGGAGCAGGGCATAATATTGGACACTTACATGGGAGCAGGGCATAATATTGGACACTTACATGGGAGCAGGGCATAATATTGGGCACTTACATGGGGGCAGGACATTATATTGGGCACTTACATAGGGGCAGGACATTATATTGGGCACATTACATGGGAGCAGGGCATAATATTGGGCACTTTACATGGGAGAAGGTCATAATATTGGGCACTTACATGGGAGCAGGGCATAATATTGGGCACTTACATGGGAGCAGGGATAATATTGGACACTTACATGGGAGCAGGGCATAATATTGGGCACTTACATGGGAGCAGGGCATAATATTGAGACACTTACATGGGAGCAGGGCATAATATTGGGCACTTACATGGGAGCAGGGCATAATATTGGGCACTTACATGGGGGCAGGGGCATAATATTGGACACTTACATAGGGGCAGGACATATATTGGGCACATTACATGGGAGCAGGGCATAATATTGGGCACTTTACATGGGGGCAGAAGGTCATAATATTGGGCACTTACATAGGGGCAGGGCATTATATTGGGCACATTACATGGGAGGAGCAGGGAAAGGTATAATATTGGACACTTATATGGGAGCAGGGCATAATATTGGGCACTTACATGGGGCAGGACATAATATTGAGCACATTACATGGGAGCAGGGCATAATATTTACATGGGGGCACAATTACATTACATGGGAGCAGGGCATAATATTGAGCACATTACATGGGAGTAGGGCATAATATTGAGCACATTACATGGGAGCAGGGCATAATATTGAGCACATTACATGGGAGCAGGGCATATTATAGGGCACATTATAGGGGAACAGGGCACTTTACATAGCACACTTCAGGGCACAGTACGTGGGGCACACAGCGCGGACAGCTAAGCAGGGAAGTGGCTGGGGAAGAGGGGCCAGTAGGGAACATCGCACCACAGCCAACACCATCACAGCCACTTCCCTGCCTAGCTCTGCTGAGGGCATGCCAGCTGCCTGCGTCTAATGGGTAGATCATGGCAAAATGATGACCTCTCGCGGAACCCTAGCCTTCTGAAACCCTGTGTTAATGTAATCTGCGTCGTTACCCTTGGTAGACTGCACAATTCGATTGTAACAATCAGACTTCAACATGTGTGGCTGCACTGATCACAATAGTTGTAACAACATCTGGAAAGTAGACCTGAGAAAATGATCTAGTGTACATTGTTTTGTCACGCGAGGTCCGTGGTTTTCCCAGTGCATGACATGGTGGTGTACAGACCACATCTGACTGGTGCAGATCAGGTTTCGCAGCCTCGTTCTATCTGTCACGTTGTGTGAGGATATCCTGCTACCGGTGAAAGATTTTTTTCTTTTTCCAGGAACAGGCCTCTGCTATCTGAGAAATGAAAGTACAGTCACCTGACAGATGCGTGGCTCTGTGCAGGTAACCTCTGATGTGGTGTCTTGTTACCCCACCAGGCGGTGTGCATACAATGAAAAGAATTGCAGAGGCGCAGTCCTCGCCGTCTGTGGGTTGTCACACCTAGAGCGCAGGACAAGTGGAAGGAAAGTGTCCTACCGTGTCCTGCCTAATGCAGGCCATAGACGGGTCGTTTATTGGGCGAATTTTCGTACGCATGAAAAATCGTCCTATAATCACGCTGTTAGTGGGGCCAACCCGTCAGCCATTTTTCGCGGATCTCATTTATTTTTTTCGGTCATGCTGGAAAATCCGTGAAAAACGGCAATGTTTTGTGGACATGGGTGGCAGTATCAGCAACGGGACCAACCGATTTGTCGTTTATCGGCCAAAAATTTGGCCAATAAACGGCACGTCTATGGCCTGCCTAACCTGAATCTGATTATTTCAGGTACTTGTATAACGCCATCAATTTACATATATATTGTACGTTCACATCAGTCCCTAACCCTCAAGGAGCGTAAATCGAAGGTCCCTAACTCACATTCATACAGGTTCTATTTGGACAGGAGCCAAATAACCTACCAGCATGTCTTTGGAGTGTGGGAGGAAACCGGAGTACCCGGAGGAAACCCATGCAGGCACAGGGAGAACATGCAAACTCCAGGCAGGTGATGCCGTGGTTGGGATTTGAACCAATGACCCGAGTACTGCCAGGCGGAAGTGCTAACCATTTAGCCACTCCATTATGCTAGCCATACACACAGCAATTATCTCCAATTTGAAAAAAACGTTTAATTACATTTAGCCAACTTATCACAATGATGGGTCAAAAGGATTGAGTTGACCTGCAGCCAATTGTATCACATCCATGAAACTTAGGCTCAGTTCACACTAGCTTTGTCAGCAGGCGTCAGACAGGCGTTTGGGGAGCGTTTTTAATTCTGCACATGGCAGCACACAGTGCTGTTCACACTGAAGCGTTAGCGTCGCGGCAAAACTGACGCCTCGTGTCCAGTCAGGAGTAGTTGAAGTCTCCCATTCAAGTCTATGGTGCCGCTCCGCAAACGCCTGGCAGGCGCGTGAGGTTGCGGAGCGTTAATACCATTTAACTTCATTATAGGCGTTTGTGGTGCGGTTTTAACGCTTGGCAAACACCTATCAACCGCCTCAAAACTGCGCATGGGGCGTTTGGGGAGCCTTAAAAACGCTTCCCAAACGCCTGTCAAACGCTATAGGGGCATTTGGCAAGAGTTAGAAATCCGTCAAGTGTGAACGAGCCCTTAGGGTTAGGTTGCATCATTCTGTTCAGCCATTTTTTCTATCAGAGGAAGATTCAAATTGACAGAACTGTGTGTATATGGCCAGCATTAGGTTGTTTCTGTGCATATAAACCCAAGAAAAAAAAATATATATTGCTGCTTACCAGTCCTTAGATGAGGTGGCTGCATTAGTTTTTCTTTTCTTTTTTTTCTTTAGGACTTGTTTTACCCTTGCTTTGCTCTCTGAAAAGCAGTCTGTGTTTAGATCGCGCTTCAGAAAGCATATGACAGGTTTTGTATTTTCTCCTCGCAACCTGTTTAACCTCCCTGGCGGTATTCCCAAGTGTAGCTCGGGGTAAAGTTTCAGTACCAAAAGTGGTAACCCCGAGCTACACTCGGCTTACCCTGCGGCGCTGCTCCGGGATCCCTTCTACACTCACCTTGTCCTTCGCTCCGCTCCGCGATGCGTCCCCTGCAGCATCCCCAGTCATCTCCTCCAGGCCGATGTCGGCATCCGGCTTCCGTGTTCTGGTCCCTGTGACGTCGGGATATACGGGCGCCGGAACTGGCGGCAAATTTGAAAATTTTAAAAAATGACATTTTTTTTTCAACGATTATTACATAGTAAAACATTCCTGTATCAAACCATTTCACATACATTTTGTCCCGAGTGCTTTGTCCTGTGCCCTGCCTGCATTTTTACTGTTCTTTCTGCCTGGAAACTGAGAAACGTCCATGGCATCCAAAAAGCGTCCCTTTAGGTCAAAAGTGGTTTTAGATCAGCTAGAGAACAGCGATAGTAAATCAGAACCACTTGCAGAATTGAGTGATAATGATTCGTGGGGGAAATTCCTCATCAGACACTGAAAACGATTCTGTGACATTGCTCAGTGATGTGCGAACTTGGCGCTATATTTCACATTTCAGTGTTTTTGGTTTGATTATATTATTGAATTAAATTTATTATTATATTATTATTTTTTATGATTATTTATTAAATTTTAATTTATGATTTCGCGTTCGTGTTTAAGTTTTATCCTACCCGGGATGTTTACTAGACTCTTGTTCAGACAGATTTCAGTGAGTTATTCCTAAGAATTACAGGCCTACAATATAAAATACATATTTCCATGCAAAAAAAATGTACTGCTTTCAGCACCAAAAATTTTAACTAATCATACCGCCAGGGAGGTTAAAAGAAGTAGTGGTTTCTTATGTTTTTTGCCCAGTTATATTTACTGAAGCTGCATCTGTCCCCCGCCAGCTCTAAGGGTGAGAACTTGCTGATTGCTGAGTTCTCACAGCCGCTCTGAGCCCCCCGAAAGGTTGCACTTCTCCTTTAATCCCACTAAATTCCAGACTATCGCATGCGTCGTCCGCAGTTGCGGTTCATAACGCAGCCCTATTGATGCCAGGGGTATAATTCCTGCCTGAAGCAAAGCATCTCTGCTGCAGCATGTACAGTGCTAAAGGGGAGTGGTTGAGGGATGGTAAAAACGCAGCTGAACCACAGGGTTTTACTGCCCTCAACCCCAAGTGTAAAGAAGCCCTTGGGGTCTGGTCACACCTGAATTTCTCAGGAAGGCAATGTGCGATTTTTCAGCCCTTTCATTTGAATAGGCTGAATTCACACTGAATTGCAAAAAAAAGTGCATGCGCTGCTTTTTAAAAACACAACCCACCAAATCACATGGTACTGCAGTATCATGCGATCTGGTGCCGACAAACACACTGCGATTGTGATCTGTGTTTAGGGTGTCATTAGTAATATATTGACACCCGCAGCAGATAGAACACCCAGTGTGTTTTGAACATGGTGCGGGAAATGCGCACGGAACTCTGGTTTCCTGCACCCTGTTTTGGAGTGAACAAATCTTTATCCCTGGCTCACACCAGTGTAACTTGTCATGCGACTTGACAATTCAGAGTGGCATCCCATCTGTGGCAATGGAACTGACCTAAACAAGCCTTTATCCCTGGCTTATACCAGTGCGACTTGTTATGCGACTTGACAATTCTGAGTGGCATCCCATCTGTGGCAATGGAGCCGACTTAAAAAAGCCTTTATCCCTGGCTCACACCAGTGCAACTTGTCATGCGACTTGACAATTCTGAGTGGCATCCCATCTGTGGCAATGGAACTGACTTGAACAAGCCTTTATCCCTGGCTCATACCAGTGCGACTTGACAATTCTGAGTGGCACCCAGTGTGTTTTGAACATGGTGCGGGAAATGCGCACGGAACTCTGGTTTCCTGCGCCCTGTTTTGGACTGAACAAATCTTTATCCCTGGCTCACACCAGTGCGAATTGTCATGCGACTTGAGAATTCTGAGTGGCATCCCATCTGTGGCAATGGAACCGACTTGAACAAGCCTTTATCCCTGGCTCACACCAGTGCGACTTGTCATGCAACTTGACAGTTCAGAGTGGCATCCCATCTGTGGCAATAGAACCGACTTGAGTCGCAGTGACTTTCAAAAAGGTTTTTGCACTATTTTTGTTCTATTTCATTGTGACTTGCATTTGCATCTGTTTAATGAAATCACAGGTTGCAATAAAATGGCACATTAAAATCTCTGATATGACATTGAAGTAGTGCGACTTCAAAGCCGCACTGGTGTGTACCAGGGCTTATATATATATATTTTTTTTTGTAATGATCCTGCCAGTAACACGCTTCCTGTGTTGCTGTCCTGGGTGACAACGCTCACTCGCTGTAGTGTATCTGGGGAGGGCCAGCGTAGTCACCATTGGACAAGACTACAGAACACCACCATGCTCATCCAAGTTTTATTTAAGCGAGGTGAGGGGGAGGGAAAAGTAGCTGGGCCAGCACACATGGTAATTAGACATTCCCAGGTCTGTGACATGCAAGGATGGAGGGATGCTAGAGAATCGGCTTTTCCTGAAGTAGTCACTTGGCAAAGAAAATTATTATCATACAGGATTTATATAGGGCCAAGAGTTTGCTCAGCGCTTTACATTATAATGGGAGACAATACAGCAACAATACAGTTCAATACAAGAGGGATAGGAGGGCCTGATCCTTGGAGCTTACAATCTAAGATCAGAGGAATGTTGTGAGTAGAAAACAATTAATGGAAAGGAAATGCAAGTAAATATTTACTTTTTTTTTTTTTCTACTTCTCCCTGTTTTTTTGGTTGATGACAGGATTTCCTTAAAGTGTTAGTAAACCCCGGACCCTGCATTCACTATATCTGGTCTCCCCCAGGACCCTGCATTCACTATATCTGGTCTCCCCGGACCCTGCATTCACTATATCTGGTCTCCCCGGACCCTGCATTCACTATATCTGGTCTCCCCGGACCCTGCATTCACTATATCTGGTCTCCCCGGACCCTGCATTCACTATATCTGGTCTCCCAGGACCCTGCATTCACTATATCTGATCTCCCCGGACCCTGCATTCACTATATCTGAATCTCCCAGGACCTGGTCTCCCAGGACCCCTGCATTCACTATATCTGGTCTCCCAGGACCCTGCATTCACTATATCTGATCTCCCCGGACCCTGCATTCACTATACCTTGTCTCCCAGGACCCTGCATTCACTATACCTTGTCTCCCAGGACCCTGCATTCACTATATCCGGTCTCCCAGGACCCTGCATTCACTATATCTGGTCTCCCAGGACCCTGCATTCACTATATCTGATCTCCTCGGACCCCGCATTCACTATATCTGGTCTCCCCGGACCCTGCATTCACTATATCTGGTCTCCCCGGACCCTGCATTCACTATATCTGATCTCCCCGGACCCCGCATTCACTATATCTTGTCTCCCCAGACCCCGCATTCACTATATCTGGTCTCCCAGGACCCTGCATTCACTATATCCGGTCCCAGGACCCTGCATTCACTATATCTGGTCTCCCCGGACCTGCATTCACTATATCTGATCTCCCAGGACCCTGCATTCACTATATCTTGTCTCCCCAGGACCCTGCATTCACTATATCTGGTCTCCCAGGACCCTGCATTCACTATATCTGGTCTCCCAGGACCCTGCATTCACTATATCCGGTCTCCCGGGACCCTGCATTCACTATATCTGGTCTCCCAGGACCCTGCATTCACTATATCTGGTCTCCCAGGACCCTGCATTCACTATATCTGGTCTCCCAGGACCCTGCATTCACTATATCTGGTCTCCCAGGACCCTGCATTCACTATATCTGGTCTCCTAGGACCCTGCATTCACTATATCTGGTCTCCTAGGACCCTGCATTCACTATATCTGGTCTCCCCGGACCCTGCATTCACTATATCTGGTCTCCCCCGGGGACCCTGCATTCACTATATCTGGTCTCCCCGGACCCTGCATTCACTATATCTGGTCTCCCAGGACCCTGCATTCACTATATCTGGTCTCCCCGGACCCTGCATTCACTATATCCTTGTCTCCCAGGACCCTGCATTCACTATATATTTTCTCCCCGGACCCTCCATTCACTATATATGGTCTCCCAGGACCCTGCATTCACTATATCTGGTCTCCCAGGACCCTGCATTCACTATATCCGGTCTCCCAGGACCCTGCATTCACTATATCTGATCTCCTCGGACCCCGCATTCACTATATCTGGTCTCCCCGGACCTGCATTCACTATATCTGGTCTCCCCGGACCCCTGCATTCACTATATCTGGTCTCCCCGGACCCCGCATTCACTATATCTTGTCTCCCCAGACCCCGCATTCACTATATCTGGTCTCCCCAGGACCCTGCATTCACTATATCTGGTCTCCCGGGACCCTGCATTCACTATATCCGGTCTCCCGGGACCCTGCATTCACTATATCTGGTCTCCCAGGACCCTGCATTCACTATATCTGGTCTCCCAGGACCCTGCATTCACTATATCTGGTCTCCTAGGACCCTGCATTCACTATATCTGGTCTCCTAGGACCCTGCATTCACTATATCTGGTCTCCTAGGACCCTGCATTCACTATATCCGGTCTCCCAGGACCCTGCATTCACTATATCTGGTCTCCCCGGACCCTCCATTCACTATATATTTTCTCCCCGGACCCCTGCATTCACTATATCTGGTCTCCCGGGACCCTGCATTCACTATATCTGGTCTCCCAGGACCCCGCATTCACTATATCTGGTCTCCCAGGACCCCGCATTCACTATATCTGGTCTCCCCGGACCCTGCATTCACTATATCTGGTCTCCCCGGACCCCGCATTCACTATATTTGGTCTCCCCGGACCCCACATTCACTATATTTGGTCTCCCCGGACCCTCCATTCACTATATATTTTTCTCCCGGACCCTCCATTCACTATATATGGTCTCCCAGGACCCTGCATTCACTATATCTGGTCTCCCAGGACCCCGCATTCACTATATCTGGTCTCCCCGGACCCTGCATTCACTATATCTGGTCTCCCCGGACCCTGCATTCACTATATCTGATCTCCCCGGACCCTGCATTCACTATATCTGGTCTCCCCGGATCCTGCATTCACTATATCTGGTCTCCCAGGACCCTGCATTCACTATATCTGATCTCCCCGGACCCTGCATTCACTATACCTTGTCTCCCCGGACCCTGCATTCACTATATCTGGTCTCCCAGGACCCTGCATTCACTATATCCGGTCTCCCAGGACCCTGCATTCACTATATCCGGTCTCCCAGGACCCTGCATTCACTATATCCGGTCTCCCCGGACCCTGCATTCACTATATCCGGTCTCCCCGGACCCCACATTCACTATATCCGGTCTCCCCGGACCCTCCATTCACTATATATTTTCTCCCCGGACCCTCCATTCACTATATATTTTCTCCCCGGACCCTGCATTCATTATATCTGGTCTCCCAGGACCCCGCATTCACTATATCTGGTCTCCCCGGACCCTGCATTCACTATATCTGATCTCCCCGGACCCTGCATTCACTATATCTGGTCTCCCGGACCCTGCATTCACTATATCTGGTCTCCCGGATCCAGCATTCACTATATCTGGTCTCCCAGGACCTCGCATTCACTATATCTGGTCTCCCCGGACCCTGCATTCACTATATCTGGTCTCCCAGGGACCCGCATTCACTATATCTGGTCTCCCCGGACCCTGCATTCACTATATCTGGTCTCCCAGGACCCTGCAGTCACTATATCTGGTCTCCCCGGACCCTGCATTCACTATATCTGGTCTTCCACAGTACACACAACATGGAAATAGAATTATTTTAGTAAATATAAACTGCTAAATACCTTTTCTCATCAGCAGTTAGAGCAGTTTTGTGCCTTCGGTGTCCAGCAAAGCACTGGTTAAAGCTTTAGGGGTTTTCATTCTGCTCTGACAGTCCTATGATGCTGCAGGACCCCTGACCCTTTGGACAGTGCTGATTGGCCATGTGCTGATCACATGCACTCTCCCAAAGAACAAAAAAAAAAAACCTTTCTAGCAATACACAGTAAACTGAGCATGTGCAGCTTGTCCCCGAGGCTATTTTCTTTAAGCAGATGGATTAAGGACAGTAGAAGGGGAGGATCAGAGAAGGCAGGATCGAACTGCTTTTTGCACACAATGCAGAGGTTTAACCCCTTAGGTTCCACAGTGAGTATAACAAGCATGCTTTACTGCATACACAGACTGATTGTACTGTTGTGGGTTTAGTAACACTTTAAAGCCAGCTTCAAGTCTCTACAATTGCTAAAGTGAATCGGTGATCTACCATCAATGATGTAATTTAAGCCTGGCACACATGGGGTGAAAAATCGGCTGACTTTTGGTGCTTTTCTGGTCAATAGAAGCCAATGACTGCAAGCACTGTGCCCCCTGTCAAAATATAATGAATAGAATGCAGGAGA